ATGAATAAAGTCCTGAGCAAAAGTGAAGAAAAAAAAAGGAAAAAATTTCGTTTTAACTGAAGAATGGTTTTAAAAGGAAAATTGGCAAATGTTTAAGAAAAACATTTAATTGAACAATTGCTTGTGACCACACCGTTTGCCGTCACGATCACTGGAGGGGCTGCTTGTTGGAGAGGGGATAAAGGAGCGCAGCGTTTCTGTTCGTTGGGGCAAAATGCGTTAAGGGCTGGAGCTGCTACAAGGTACGGAGAGCTCAATTGGCAGCTTTATCTCGTCCCGGGATAGGTCATTGGAAGCAACAGCAGCAACAATTCAGGTCAGGTCAGGTATTTTATTTCTTTTGTTTTTGTTTACTGTTTATGGAGGAGCCATGATGAGTGGCTGAGGTGAGCCAGCTACCGCGGTGGCGGGGGTGCGATGAGGGTGCGTGTGTGAGGAGACTGTGGGGAGGCATTGGACGGGTACCAACGGACAAGGTAGTGACCTACGGACAATAGACCGGACCAGAGACGGGGTAATGGGATAGTCCGATCCTTACGACATAAAATCAACGTTTTGTTTTTGTGTTCCTTTTTTTTCCTTTTATTATTGTAATGCGGTGTGGCGGGTAGGAGAACAAGGTTCTACAATGGGTCTCTTGAAGCGATATAAAGGTTGGACTAATATCACTTACGAGTGTACGGAGTTCACCCTTAATGTTTCTTTGTAGAATTTTAAAAACTTTATTTAATTGTAGTGACATGGAGTGAAAAATAGGTTAAGCTGACATGTCAGCGTCTCCGTCGAAAATGTCACTATAAGAATTTTGCGTGAATAATTTATTCTTACCAGCAGAAGAATCTGTACTTAGATGGTTGCGTAAATTTTAAGTGCAGCAAGTGGGCACACGTGAATAATTTGAAATTGAAGGTTGATTGAGCAACGAAAGATTGGATTCATTACTGCTTGCAATTTGTTGAGTAGAGTTGAGAACTGTTGATTCTGGGGGATTTAGTTTATTAGATTTTGGCATATGTGTTGTTGGTTTAATTTTTTCAATATTTGCTGTTGTTTTGATTTTTTCAATATTATCTTTGACGGGTGGTGGGACTGGTTTCGCAATACAATTTTTGGTTGATGGTAGAGAAAGTTTTTCGTTGGAAGGAGTTGGACTTAAAAGCTTATTAAGCTCGATTTGTGAGGCGACAGCAGCGTAGGCATTACTTTTGTTAATTCTTTGGGTTCCAGATGGATTAATTTCTCGGTACTTGCGTTGCGCTTTACCCATGCTACAGTAATTTTCTGTTTTGATTTTTAGAATATCACGCATTTGTATAAAACGTGGGTATTGCTTGTCTAACGCTGAGTGTTAATCGTTGCAATTTAAGCAGAAGCTACGCTTACAGTTTTCAGCATGTGGAGGGAGACCACAGTTAGCACAGGATGGAGGACCCAGGCGTTGGCAGTTTTTACACCTCATGGTATTTGGAAGGTAGAGTTCTACTTTACATTTGTACCAAGCTACACCAACTGTTGCCGGTAGCCGATAGGCAAAAGTCAAAATAATTCTTCCTGTAGGGGAGCGGGTTTTTTCATCGTCATTTAATTTAGTGAATTTGTGGACTTCAGTTACTCCTTGACTGCCCATTTCGCGCACAATTTCATCTTCCGGCACATGCTTTAAGCATGGGGCATAAACTACGCCTTTAACCGAGTTCAGTTTGTCATGCAGTTTAGCGGATATAGCACATAAATTAGCTAATGATTTCGACTTTATTAGCTTTTCGGTTGCGCTCGGGTTCCCAGCGAGGACAAGTAAATTCCCATCGCGTAAAATCGATATAGAGTCTATATATGTTGTAATGCTATCTACTGCTTTTTTAATAACGAAAGGGCTGATTTGCGAATTTGTTATCGAAAGATCAGTTGTAGAAATAACAACATATTTTTTGTCAATAGGAATGATGCTACTGGTTGGCCACACCGGAAATTCGGAATTTTTAATTTTTTTTCTTTGGGGGGATATGCCTTATGGCAGTCTATTATTAGTAAATCGGGAAATAACCACTCACTTGAAAAGGTTTGGGAACTATGGAAGGGGGTTGGGAACTACTAAAGGAAAATGTCAATTGTTTTCAATTATTTATTTTTATTTTTAGGCCATACTCGCTCCAACAGTCAACATTTAAATAATCAATTAATGAGTACTTGCACAGATGCGGGTGATTTTCCCCAGCAAATTGTGGCCGTTGTTACACCTTTAGGCAAAGTGCGCCAGTCATGTTAACCACTAAAAATTTGCATTGTATACATGCTATGTTAGCGTTGACTCATAGCAATGGTAGTATTCTGGGCACTTCATGGCACATTGTTTTGCAAACCTTACAGCATCTTATTTGGATGTTGAGCTTAAAGCCATCTTCTGGCGGGAGTCTGCAGGCTTTTCCTAAACCAGCTGTAGAAGCTAACGTTGGTATACAGACCGCAAAGCAACATAAACAAGGAGGACCGGTATATTCACATGATATAATTTATAAAATTCATTTGCGCATATTTTACTAGATATAAATAAATATATATATGAATTTGAGAAAATCAAACGTTTATTGTTTTGGTATAGGAGGCTTGTTCTTGTTCCTTGTTAGTGTAGTTTGCTTGTTCTTCTTCTATTTTGATGTAAGTTGCTTGTCCTTCTACCTTTTTGGTGTAGGTTGCTTGTTCGTCTTCTTTTTTGGTGTAGATTGCTTAAACGGATGAGAAAATGTAACAGGCACTGTAGTGGGGAGTGGGAAAAAAAAGAAAGAAAAGGAAAAGTTTGGCAACCTCGAAAAAAGCGACAAGTGGCGCGTAGGAATAAAGAAAAAAAAACTTGGGGGACCTTGGAAAAAAAAAGGTTTTTTTTTTTGGCTGGATAATGACGTAGAGCGGTGCTGTTTTATTTTACTTTTTGTGGATTTGTAGCATAATTTTTAAAGGAAATCTTTGACAGTGTTCTCAAGATATTATAAAAATATTGAAAGGGAGAAATTTCACTTTCGTGCCATCTATATATCGATGGAATTATTCCAATCAATCTGATGAATTCTTGCCGAAAATGGCATGTGCAGAAAACATTGTGACTTTGGTGCATAACAACAACAAAACCTGCATATTATTTTTGGTCGCCTTTTACTTTCGAAATTATACAAATATATAAAGGGAGAAACTCCACTTCCGTGCTATCGATATATGAATGGAATTATTCCAAATATTTTAATGAATTCTTGCCGAAAGTGGCACGTGCATAAAGACTTGTGACTCGGTGGTAAAACAACAACAAAATCTGCAAAACATTTGTGGTTGCGATAGGATCGTTTTGGTTCTACATTGACACGTTTTTTTTTTGAGAAGAAGAAAAAAAGATGGCGCTCCGCGGATTCTTCTAGCGTGCCAATTCTTTGTTCATTGGGAGAGTTTAAAATAAACCTAGTTTTGTGGTGCCGTCTTGACTTAACGAAATGGTAGCTATTGTGTTGAGTCGTTCAAGGAAACGATAACCGGATTTCCCAAATCTTTTAAGAACGAAAATGGGCCCGAAGCAAAACGGGGTAAAAATATAAGAAGGAAGGAAGTTAAATCGTCCGGCGTAACGCCCGGAGCACACCGTCTCTATGAGGGAAGGAATATTTGGCTTATCTTACGTGCATTAGTACCTTATTATTAATTCTACTTTTTTACGATAATTCCAGCACTCATAATTACTTAAAGCATCTTTCAGCTGCAGCGATGCGCATCGGCGTGGTTGGTAAGTCGTTTTATGAAAATTAATTATTAACCTAGAGCGTAAATTTTGTATCGGTAATATTATACTAATTCGTGTTAAGATAGTAATAAGCTTGGATACTAACTATTCTTCCTTTTTTTTTTGAAATTTGTGAATTGTACTTATGGAATTAAAACTGTGGATTACATTCATTGAATGTAATGTCTTTTTTTTAGTCTAAGAATTCAATTCATTAGTCTAAAATTAAAATAATAATAATAATAAAAATACATTCATTGAAAGGGAGAATAAAGAAATGCGTTGTTATTGAAGATAACAGTACTGGTAAGACTTCCGGCGGGAGGCGGAGAGGCGAGATAGAGGCTAGGTGGTCAGGGCATGGGTTAGATTAGTTTAAAGCTTTTTTTCAGATTTCACAATAAGCATGTTTTTATTCTAAAATAATGAAATATCGTAGCGAGGCAAGTACCTAACACGTGTCTGTATATCCGATACTTGGACACCCCCCTTCCGACGAGCCAGGCCGGAAAACATGCGAAAAACGATGAGAATTAGACGACAACATCCGTGTTTAGGTAGAGTTTGCGAAACGTTACAAAAATTTAAGTTAATCAGCAACTTTGAAGTCATGTCACGATTCTTTACTCAGTAATGCCAATATTTTTAGCATCGGCAGCTTACACAACATTGCAATAAAATAAGTTAATCTACGTTCTCCTCCCACGGTCTCGGTCCTCTAATATTCTCCCAATTTTCAATGTCAAGCTTTTTGATTTTCTCAAATTCCCTTTCTATAGTCACGTGTTCGGGCTTCTTACACTGACCAGCTGCATATCTTCTGGCGTAACAGCTTGCTGCCGGGAATACTTATATCTAGTGAAATAGGAGCAAATGAATTTTATAAATTATATTATGTGAACCAAAAAAAGGAACCTTAACTAGGAAAATTTCTGAAGACCAAACTTACCATTGGTTTATTAAGTTCTTCCAAACTGGTGTAAAGAAGAGTTTGATTCCTTGCATTTGATTTAACCATAGCCCGTAATAATCCAAAAAATAATGTGCGATATGGGGAATAAAAACTTGGCCCAAGCCCGCAACAGCGAGGGAAACACCAACAGGAAAGAATAAGTAGTAAGTACGTACGTATGTTTGTAATGCTCACAAATGCGCATGCGTTGCAGCCGTGGCTGGCCTTTATTATTGTCGCTGGCTAGGCTGTCAGAGAAGCTAACGCGGCTTTAATGCTCGCTACAATATGTTAGTTCATGTGCGCACTCATGCCAAGGAGAAACCGCATCAATGTCGTTTATGTGAGAAAGGATTTTCGCGAGCCGAAAACCTTAAAATCGATATACGCCCACATTCGGGCGAAAAGCCGTACGTATGTGCAAGGGTTGTAGCACAGCGTATTCGAATTCTTCTGATCGTTTCAAGCATACACGTACGCATTCTATGGAAAAGACTTATATGTGCAAAGTATTTGGTTGCCAGAAATGATACACCGATCCTTCATCCTTACGTAAACATGTAAAACCGTTTAGGCGTTGGACACAAATAATGAAATCATCTATCTGAAATTTGAAATCATCACCAAAGTCTGAAGAATCTGATTATATTAAGCATCGAGAACATATAAAGCCATCTGCACGCAAATCATTCACACGAATCTCTTCGAATTCAATACGTCGCCCTTCGTATGCACAAGACTCCTTTTGTTTGACTATGGAAGAAATGTGCCACATTAAAGGCAATGACATTGACAGTTATTGGTTAACAGATGAAGTTGATGGTCCTTTACACCGATAGCTTTAGCAATAAACTGCACCAAGAAGTTGAATTATCAATGGAATTGGATTTAAGTGGTGAAAAACCTTTAGATTTAAGTTTTAAACGAGCATAGCAACCATTTATAAGACGTGGGATTATCTTACATTTTTTTTATCCGCCTGAGGGACCGAATAGGCAAGAGTCTCGACTAGAACCATATTTGGGAAGCAAACACCAAGATTAAGTATACGTTTCTCAAATGCTGGTAAGGGTAACAGAATCAAGAAGAAATCAAAGAAAAAAGCGGGTCCCACCACCAATTTCTAAGGACAAAGAGTATGAATTGCTTTTGAGCCAATTCAATTGAATCTCTATAAGATTTATAGAAAGGAGGCACACTTAAGTGTCTGTCTGATCACGTATAGACTTTTTGTAATGTAAGCATAGATAAGCTTTTCGGACCAGCGCTTCACGAATTCGAACGCCGGCCTAGCTTTACTTAAATCGAGTTTAATGTGCAGATTAAACCGTAATTCTTGATCAAACATAAACTCTAAACCCTTGAACAAATTTATGTTTTTCAACATTTGTAAATCGATAAAATACTAAGCAGTGAGTGAATTTCTCGTGGAGAAAGAAAGCTTCTTGCATTTTTTTAGCTTTAATTTCATAAAATTTAATGAACACCATATGAAATTATTTCTCGCTTCCATTGCAGTTCGACGCAACTACCACGGATTATTTTCTATACTATATGAAAAAAAGAAATAATTCCATTAAAGCTTACAAAAACATTGCAGTGTGACCGCATACCGTTATATGCACCCACTTTGAGGTGCGACAGAATTATGCAAATTCAGCATAATTCTTTCGCTAAAAGTAAAATAAAAATTAAGTCGCACTTCACCATTAAGAAATGCAGTACGAAGCCAGGCGCTCCACTTAAAACAATTATCATTTTTGACGATGTTAGCACAATTTAGTGCAATATGTGTATAAATACCCAGGTAAGATTTGATTAAAATTAATTGTCAAAAAGCAATTCAAGAATCGTATAAATTCGCTAGTATAATAAAAGGTGTTCCATCCGCCTAGTATCATTGTTAGGGACTGCCTCATTCCGAGCTCAATTGGTATTTTCAAGCGGCAGATCGACTTGGCGCATTGAAGCCGAGCAATTTAGGAAATATTTCACAGCTCCAATTTGGCCACATTTGGGAAAGATTCATAGGGAATCTTCCCATAATTAAAATATCAGTACGCCATTATAAAATATAATTACAATACAAACATATGATATGATGTGTTTAGCGAGTGCTTGTAATTGCCAATTATTTTATTGCTAAACCCAAAATTCCTCGTATGATATGCAGAACAATTTGCTCGTTGCCTGTTGTTGTAGAGAAAACAAGTTCATGTGACTCGTCCAAAATGACATTTATAGTCTGACCAAAGCCTTTTAATGTGCCTATAAAACTCCGACCGTCTGCAGTGATTATCGGAACAGTGTGATAAATATATTGCTCCAATGCGGAAGCCATTATAACGATTTAAAAAAAAAAAAAAAAAACTGATGAGAATAAATCTTTATTTAATATGTTTTGGCGGAAAAAAATAAAACTCTTATGGTGGCGTTGTCGACTTGTAAACAAATACTGATATGGGTTAAGATGCAACCAGTATGCAGAGCAAACACATCTATTAGTATGAAATGTGTTATATTGTATAAAGGGTTTCACCGCCTTGCCGCTGGACAAAACTTTGCCACACTTATGCCACATGGTATATTAAGCTTACGAGCATGGCACGTTAAGCTAGGCGTTGCTAGCGTGTTATGGCTGTACATAACACTCAAGAATGTAAGGATCACTCCTACGATTTGCAGCTATCCTTCGAATATCTAATGTCTAAATAAAGTTTACGCTGGATTACTATAAGCAGTCCTCAAGCTATGTTAATGTCAGTGTGTTCACAAATTTGATGAATTACTCAACTACAAGGAGGATGAACCACTGGACGCTATTAATAATGCGAATATAAACTTTATCTGCACACAAACGCCTTCATCTTCATCGACGACTTCATCGTCAACCGAAAATAACCTTGCTAATACTTCCGTGGTATCATCACCTTCATCGGATTCTGCCATAGTTCCAGTAAAATTTTTAACTCAACGTATACTCAATAAGCAGAATTCAAAGCTGCCACCACCCATAAATGGAATGGGTGATACGATGCATACCGTACATTTATATATATATATATATATATACCTTTGCTAAATACTTGGTGAGTTGTCGCCTCTTTTCTTGCAAAATTAACTTAGGAAATTATTGCTTAGATGGCAACAGGGACATGATCGAATAAATATAAGTCAGCGAATACGGGAGAATCACAGCCGCGATATCAATTGTCGTCCCGGTATTGACGGTAAAGTAATATTTTGACACTTTAGACTTAGCTCGCAAACCTAAAGTAACATAGCTGTTATATTTTCTTGTTTTTGGTTGACGGGAGCACCGTCCTCAAAGTCTGAGGGATATACCAATAAACTACGTGTAGAAATTGTTACCTACCCCGCGTCAAAGTGGAATTAAAATAAATAACAAATATTTTTTAAGCATGCTAAATTAAGAAATTACAATTGATTGATTGACAACATTGCAACATTTGAACGTCGGTTCAAAAATCTCGCATAGGTTTCGCTGTGGACAAAGGTAATATAGATGCATTTCAGCATAATCTATGCCTTAGGCCTTAAAGTAAATAATTAAAATCATCTCTCCCCACCAAAGCACAAGGTAAGCCATGATTGGTTGCTGTCATTGGTTAGACTTCACTTTTTTTGGATGTACTCAAATCCAGTCCATCAACAGTTTATTTATTTTTCCGAGGAATTGCTATTTTGTGTGAAAAACGGAATATAAAATGTGTGTAACAATTTGTATGAAAATCGAAATATAAAATGTATCGAACAATTTGTAAGAAAAACGATATGCAATATGTGAGCCACATTTTATACTAAATTCTTTTGAAAATGTGTGAGCGGTCTCCTTATTTTTGCGAAAAAGCGAGAATGCTTACGACAAATACTACAAAGTGAGCAGACAGAAACCAAATTTTCAAAAATTTCTATACTTTACGGCGTTTTTGAAGTTTGCTTCTGCGTCTTGAAAATAGATTTAATTTTGATGCGGTATAGTATTGAACAGGAATGGTCAATTTTTTCTATTTCCATACAGACACTATGGGCATCACCACAGAATATGCGTTAAAATTTTTGTACCTTTATCTGCTATAGGGGTAGAAAAGTAACAGAAGTAACTAAAGGTCCCAGGGGGATTTGGCCCGTTTTCAAAACCGTCAAAATTGATGTCGACAGCTCAAATTTCGTAACATGGAGAATGTTTACGACAGACATTGCACATACGGACAGAGGCACAACCATTGCATTTTCCATTTCAGAATGTGACGAGTTTTCAAGAATAACATTGCATTACATTTATTACACTTTTTTTTTTTTTTTTTTTTTTTTTGTTTGTTTAGAGATGGATTGGACCAGTTAAGTTAATGTTAGATCCATAATCCAGAAACGAAGTTGAGAGCGATTGATGAAAAAATTTAAGCATAGGTAGACTGATGTGGCAGAGTGTTCGCAATGAGAGGCTCTGTTCCGCTGTCAATCCATAAATCACCGTACTTGGTACTGTACTGTCAAGATCCGGCTAATAATGCCGATAAAAGAAAAAGTGTAGGCGATTCGTGATTGTAATAGAAATACTAAATGTAAAATTAGAATGAAAACTCAGCTGATTTGATAAAGGCAGTCAGTTGCTTCAAATGCCTAAAGTTACCAGCACGAAAAATTTTATATAGATTGTTATACAGGTTAAATATACTGGAAGATTGTCTAAGGATGTCAAACCTCTTGCACTCAAAAATAAGGTGCTCGGCAGACTCAATAATATTGCAATCCTCACAGATGTCAGAGGAGGAGACTTTGATCATTTTAAAATAGACCTTGTCGTAGGTGTGATTACTCATAAGACGGTGAAGAACTTTAAATTCCCATGTTGTGAATTTTCCTTTAGGTAGAAGCGTGGGTGTCAAAAAAGGGTAAATTTTGTAGAACAGCCGGTCACTTTTTTCTCTAGCTAAAACATGATACTCATCTTTCCATTCTTTTATGATGAGTTTTTTGACTAGCAGAAAAGCTTCGCTGGGG